GCGGCCCCGCTGGCCCGGTCCGTAATCCGTCCCTGGGCCGCCGCCCATGTCTCCATGTGGGGTATTGGGCACTGATGCCAGGTCTGCTTTTTGTACATATTACTTTGAGGAGAAGTGAAATTTATTTGTACTTTTTCCACAGAAGAACTCTTCCCTGGCTGGCCACAGATGTTATGACTCTGTAGTCACACATCTGGATCCATCCGTCCATCCATCCATTTGTCTGACTTCTACCTGCTATTCGGAATCAGATGTAAAGGCTGGAAAGACAAGAGTACCTGCAGCATAGCGTTGGATACTGGGCACAGTCTAATAGGGCGGGCAGAGGAACAGCGATGACTTTTTTGTACTGTCCAGAAAAATTCCCGGAACACTTCACAAATGTGCACGTCATCCCTGCACAGGGGCCATGATAATCTTTGTATCATTCCAGCCTTAGAATATGTGCTGCCATAGGAAGGTTTCGGGTCAGACTGGGGCTCCACCCTCTGCCATGGCCTGTGCTCATGGCTGACATCACGCTCACCACCTTTCCTTCCACTTCCTTCACTCTCGGCCCCCAAACAGACGTCGTTTTCACAGGAGCAGCTGTTCGTGTCTGAGAAAGACTGGATCTTAATCGAGGTCTGTACTCCAAAATCAAAGACCACAACAAATGATGATGCTGTCCACAGGGAAAGGTGCTGAGATCATTTACATTATCGTCAACATTTTTTTTGCTTTCTTTGACATCTAAAGACAGACGGTTTTCCCGCTTGCTGTGGCATCCCGTTCACTGGGTGCGTGTCTGACGGACAGGTGTGATAACAGGGCGCTTAGTGGGACCATCTAAGCATCAGACTGAAGATCAGAGTGAAAATGCCACAGAGTTAAACAGAGTTCACATCTCATACAGGTCCACATCTCACACACATCTTGCACAGGTTCACATCTCATGCAGGTCCACATCTCACACACATCTTGCACAGGTTCACATCTCTTGCAGGTCCACATCTCACACACATCTTACACATGTTGACATCGCATGCAGGTCCACATCTCACACACATCTTGCACAGGTTCACATCTCATGCAGGTCCACATCTCACACATGTCCACACCTCACACAGGTCCTACCCAGCCTGTTCTGGGTTATTTACCCAGCTCAGTAATGACATTGCTGGTAAGTTCTAAAAAAATGTCCATCTGCTTTAATATACATACATGCACACAAAATGTTCCTTAAAACTACTGCTAAGGGAGCCTGCAGCTCATTTGTGATGTTTCTGTGCAGATTAAAACCTTCCCCAAGCAGAAAGCATAGATGAATAAGGAGGTTTGCCTCTTACTAACACAGACAGGCCGTCTCTCCCAGAAGGTCTCCTGCAAGGTGACAGCATTTCCCTGACACTCGCCAATGATGCGCAAAGTCTTGGGAAATCTGTTGTTTTCTATTGAAATTCTATCCCCATCCTTGAGCACCAGCTGGTAAATTTAACTCCCAGCACCTCAGCTGCCCCCTCCCAGCCAGCGGTAGGTGTGGAGGGCTGTCATACCGTCTGGACATTAGACTGCGGTGTACGGTATTTTGACAGTGTGTATGGAGGCTCTATAAGAGGAGGATTTTTACTGCAGAAAGTGACAGTATTCTGGTACTTCACAATAAAAAGGGGAGGAGGGGAGTTTGGGGGATTTCCAACAAAAATACCATGGTATATGGTATTACCATAATACACCCCAGCCTTCCCTGCATTCAGGATCACACTGTTATCTTACTACGGCGACACTGGCGAGCACAGCCCAATTTGCATGTGGCAGTCATGCAAAGAAAACAGGTGCATGTATCTACAAAACAAGATAAAAAATACAGGTGGAAGTTCTATGCAAAACTGCAAGGAATTGTCAGGAAAATGCGGCTCAGAAGAATAAAAAAGGGGGGGGGGATTAGCGGCAAGAGTCAAAGCTGTGATCCCACATCCATGTGGATTTTGCAAACAAACAAACAGGTCATGAGAGAAGCCAGTTGTGAGGCAGGGCACATCAGCAGCCAATCACAGAGCCTGCAAGGATCTGCCAAAGATCAGCTGACTGTGTGGCCCTATCGGGCTCTATCTAGGCACAGAGGTCATCTGCTAAAGGAGCACAGTCACCTGCACGTGCACATATGCATGTAGACATACCTGCATATGCGCATACACACAGACACGCAGACATATGTGCATGTGCACATACACACAGGCACACAGACATACACGCAAATGCACATACACACAGACACGCAAATATGCACGCATATGCACATACACACAGACACGCAAATATGCACGCATATGCACATACACACTATCTCCTGGACACTGCAACTGGCAGTCAGCTGCACTGTCAGCCTTCCTGGGTGCTGCGTGACAAAATAGTGACACCTGCTGGTGCAAAACACAAATGACAAAAATGACACTTTTCCAGAACAGGAAGAACAGGGAATGAGGATAGGGTAGAGCCTGGTTGGGATGCCAGTCGACCGTAAGGTACACACTCACCCACTAAAGGCCATTTGGAGATGCCAATGTGCCACAATTCACAACATAAAAGGAAGTACTCTTTCAGAGTCCTGCTCTGCCCTCTGGTGGAGTGGAAGACCCAGCAAGGATGCTGCTGGATAAACCTCCTTACCGCCATATTTTTGCTGCAACACCTCTCTTCCTCCACAGCTCATGGTCACTATGGTAACGGCTATCTGCAGAGGAGGGAGAACTCAGCAGGACCAATGACGCCTGGTTCTCTGCCTGTTACGATCACTGCATTGAGGACAAGGACAGGAGCTGAGGCTTTCAGATCAGATAGCGTGCTGGTTACAGACGTGAAGGTTTGAGACCCTTCTGAGGCCGGGTTCTGGATCCGTCATGAAATAACCCAGGTGGAAGGGTGCAGTGCTCCTGGGATTGGCGTCGGGGTACGCTGTGTCCCCCCTGCGAAAGCATCTGACAAAAACCACAAAGATAGTAACCTTGGTCCTTTCATTGGTTCAGTGTCTAATTTGAGATGAAGTGAAGTGCTCCATCTGCTCCTTATTACCGTAGAGACTCACTCTCCATTAGCACATTCCACGAGTCTATGATTTCAGCTTCCAAGTGTTACAAGTGGCAATACAGTGTAATAGAGAAACATAACACACTGAAATGTCTTACATTA